CCCCGTCCTCTGCATGAGAAAGGTAGTTCTTTTGGCTAGATTTGCCCACCTGATGAGCCTATCCAAACAACATTGGTGCCTTCCAACATAATGGAATAGACATCTCCAGCACTCGTTTAAGAAATCAGCTGTTTATGGAGCACCCGCGAAGCCTGCAGCCCTCTGCAAGGTGCAGGGGCTGGAGAAGGCGGGTCTTGTTGGGAGAGCAGGGAACTAACAGCCCGAGGCACCGTGTGGTTAAATGCCAGACACGCGGGTTGGGTTCGCTGCCCAGTGTGAATACAGTAATCTGGGGCAGGCAGGGAGTTCGTGCTGGAGGGGGGTTTGGAGGGGCTCTTGACATCAGGGTCAGAGTTGAGGCGCTCAGCAGAGGTGCAGGGCAGGGGGCACAGCAAGGACAACAGCCCAGAGGAGGGGATCCACGTAGAGCAGGGAGAAGCCTGGCTGAGCTAAAGGGGAGAGTCTGGAGAGAGCAGAGTGAGTCTGGAAGGGCAGTTTGCGCCTGCATCATCTGGGGCCTGCAAAGGCTGGGCTGAGGAGCTGGTTCCAGCCTATGAGCAGTAGGGAGCCATTGAAGATTTCTGAGCAGGGGAGTGTCATGACAAAAGCAATGTTTTGGAAAGGTTAGTCTGGTGATGATGCGGCAGAGGACCTGGGGGCGGGCAGACCCCACCCCAGCCTCTCTTCCACTCTGTTCTCTGTGCCCTTCTTGAGAACCTTCCACTGTCTGTACTAAATTGCTCCCACCTCTCTCTCTCTCTGCCTTCTCCACACCTGCTGCAGGGAGGCACCTCCCGGGCCAACAAACTGGAACCAGTGCCCTCCACACGGCTGTTCCAGGTGCAGGGAACCAGCACCAACAACACCAAGGCCTTTGAGGTCCAACCCCGGGCCAGCTTCCTCAACTCCAATGACGTCTTCATCCTTAAGACCCAGTCCTGCTGCTATCTGTGGTGCGGGAAGGTGCGTGCAGTGGCCTCCCCCTCCCCAAGTGGATCTTAGGGGTCCCTGGGCCTCAGGGGAGCCCCTGGCCAGCAGGTCCTTCTGGCTCATTTCCCAGCTGCCCCTAGCCAGTCTCCCTCCACCCTCACATTCTCTGCCTCTAAGTCCGGTTCAGTATCTCTCGTTCTCTTTGTCCCCGGCCACCCCTGCCTGTCCCAGTGTTGGTCTGTCTTTGTGTCTGGGGCTCTCTCTCACTATCCTCATACCTGTCGCTGCCTCTCCGTTGATCTCAGCCTCTTGGATGCTTTCTCTTGCCCTGTAAGGAGAGGGCAGGCTCCTGTACCCTCTGCCGTTCTTTGGAGTGTCAAGGACAGAGGAGGGGTGTGCATGGGGTCCTGATCCAGGCAGGAGGGGCCCTCTTGGACCCAGGAGCTCTGGGCCAGTAAACATGGTGGAAGGGTGGGGGTAGGTGTGGCAGTAGAGATGGTCTCCCCCAACACAGCTGACCCCCCTCTCCCCAGGGCTGTAGCGGGGACGAGCGGGAAATGGCCAAGATGGTTGCGGACACCATCTCTCGGACAGAAAAACAAGTGGTGGTGGAAGGGCAGGAGCCGGCCAGCTTCTGGGTAGCCCTGGGTGGAAAGGCTCCCTATGCCAGCACCAAGAGGTAACTATGGGGTCCCTCTGCCTCCAGCTCACCTTCTACGCTGGGGAGCCTCCCCGCCCCCCCAGCCCATGGCCCAGAGTCTGCAGTGAGCATGGACTGAGGACTCTGTGTACCAGTCCACAGGGCTACAAGATGAAGAAAGAAGGGGCGGCCCAATGGGCCCTGAGAGCCCCGTGAGCCCAGGGGCATGCCTGGGGCCCGGTGCGGGTTTTCTTGGCAAATGGAGTTCACGGGCTAGGAAGCAACTCAAAGAGAGGGGCAGGGCTTGCCCTTGGGGATGAAGCTGCCAGAACCCTGTCCTTTAGTCCCCACACAGGACCTGGATGTTGAGAAGCCCCAGCTGGAAACACTCTTTCCAGTGTTTTTTCTAAAGCATACCCAGGGTCCACTATTCCCCCGTTTAAAGGGAAAGGGCATTCCTGCAGTAGCCGGAGGAGGCCTAGAAGGAAGATATCAGAACTTCCCAATGGGCCTGCAGAAGAGCCTCTGGAATGCTCGTCCCGGAAAGGCAGCGGGGACTTCTGCCTTGGAGCGCTCTCAGACTCTTGGGAGGAGGGGGGCACTTTTCGTGTGGTCAGAAAAAAGAGCATTTTCCTAGAAGTTGGGCTTTCTGTGTCGGAGTTCTGCGTCCTCCATTTTTCCTTCCCCACACCTTCTTCTTGCCACCACAATTTTCTCTGCATCCTGCAGACTGCAGAAGGAAACCCTGGCCATCACCCCCCGGCTCTTTGAATGTTCCAACCAGACCGGGCGCTTCCTGGCCACAGAAATCCCTGACTTCAATCAGGATGACTTGGAAGAGGACGATGTGTTCCTGCTCGATGTCTGGGACCAGGTAGGATTGAGGTCTGGGGCCCTCCCTTACCACCAGCTCAAGCCCCAGGGCCAAGAAATGGTGACTTTATGGACAGGTAAGTTGTGACATTTTCTGGGCTCCCTCATTCATTCTTCCTGGGAGTAGTATTGTGAACAAGAGCCTAAGGAAGAAGGAGGCGGGTAGAGAGGAACGTTCCGGAGGGGGCTGCAGTGCAGGACGTATTTTCCCAAAGCCCCGTTTCTTTCACATGGCAGAAGCATGTTTCTGAGGGTCTGTGGCTCTGGAGAGGCCGAGAGTCCCACACTGGCAGAGTCTCCAAGTAGAGGACACCTGTCCAACCTCTTCATCTCCCAGATGCAAAGTCAAGACCAGATGGGGCCTGCCCGAGGTCACTTGGCTCCACTGTCGGTCCTCAGAGACTGGCGGACCCCAGGCGGAGCACGGTGGGCCAGGGAGGACAGGAAGGCCTACCCGAACTCTGGATTCTCCACAGGTCTTCTTCTGGATCGGGCAGCACGCCAAAGAGGAGGAGAAGAAAGCTGCAGCAATCACAGCACAGGAATACCTCAAGACACACCCCAGTGGCCGTGACCCCGAGACCCCCATCATTGTGGTGAAGCAGGGACACGAGCCCCCCACCTTCACAGGCTGGTTCCTGGCGTGGGATCCCTTCAAGTGGAGTGTGAGTGGCCAGCGCCTCCCTGATCCTTCCAGCCCAGCACGACCTTCTCCAGGAGGCCGCTCACGGCACACCCCAAGGGCAGGGCGGACTTTCAGGCTTTTCTATTCATTGTGATAGACGACCAGTGACAGATTTTTAAAGGGGTTCTAGGGGACCTCGAATAAAAAGTCAGACTGCGTAAGCCCATGAAGCCCCCTGGTGAGGGAGAGGGAAGGAAGTCTATCAAAAACCCAGGCTCATGACCGTGCCTTTCTTGGGCACGAGATGTAGCTCAGAGCTGATGGACATTCTTGCTAAGAGCTGTACTGACCATTTGAACTTAAATCAACTAAAGTTAAACAAAACTGAAGATTCAATTTCTCACAAGCCCCAAGCTAACTGCTTCGTAGCCACTCATGGCTAGTGGCTCCCAGGTTGGACAGCGCAGAGAAAGAACATTTCCATCACTGTAGAAACTTCTCCGGGACAGTGTTGGTGCATCCTCAAACCAGATGAAAATGACACACGTCAGTTCTTTAAAGGACAGACGAATGTCTTCCTGGCACCCACTTCTAAGCAAAATGGCTCATACGTGTGGTCCTTATCTGAGGGACGGTGAGCTGGACTGCCACAGGACTTTCCTGAACTGGCCCCAGGTAGAAGCAGAGGGCAGGTCCTCAAAATGGAAGCCCGTGCACGTTGTCTGCAGGAAGGAGGAAGGCTAAGGCCTGGTGACTTTAGGTGCACAATGGCCGTCATGATGCGCCATGCTGGGGGCCAGGCCCTGGGCTTATAGAGATGCGGCTCCTCGTGGAGCCAGCGTCCCTTTGACTCCCTTCACCTTTCTGCGGCAGGGTCCCCCTCCAGGCTCTGGGAGGGGAGGAGGTCCCTGGCTTCCAAGCCCCCCATGTTCCCCAGAGCCTCCACAGGGGAGGCAGCTTCTCCAGGCTGCACATCGCTGCCCACACTGCCTCTGAGGGTGGCCTCTATCCCCACGTGGGGCTGAGCAGGGCCTTTCCTGACCATCAGCCCCGTGGGTGTTCATCCTCCCGTCTAGCCTCCTTTTTCAGGGTCCCTCCTCCAGCCCCCACCCCTGGGCCTTAGGCCAGCCTTCTTTCAACCCCCCGAAAGGAAAAAATTCTTCCTCTGCTGAGAGCCGGGTCTAACTTGTTATTGGCTTTATGTGCAGAACACCAAATCCTATGAGGACCTGAAGGCGGAGCTTGGAAACTCTGGGGACTGGGACCAGATCACTGCGGTGAGTGCGGGGCAGGTGGCTGGCTGATGTCGCAGCCCCGTGGGAGCTGAGAAAGCTCCAGAAAAGATAGCAGGGTCCTGGGCTTCCCTTTCCACCATGTCCTCCCACCGCTCATGGAAGTGCTTCTCCCTGTTGAACTTCAAGGCCTCCTGCTGTTTCTTCTCCTCCATGGCCTAGACTGAGCATGCATAAGAATCCAGGTGATGGGAGCCAGGAGCAAGGTGGGGACAGCTGGTTAAAACGCAGATCCCGGGACGCTTGGGTGGCTCAGTCGTTAAGCGTCTGCCTTTGGCTCAGGTCATGATCCCAGGGTCCTGGGATCGAGCCCCACATCGGGCTCTCTGCTCCGCGGGAAGCCTGCTTCTCCCTGTCCCACTCCCCCTGCTTGTGTTCCCTCTCTGGCTGTGTCTCTCTCTGTCAAATAAATAAAATCTTAAAAAAAAAAAAAAACAAAAACCGCAGATCCCAAAGTCCCCTTCACTCCCCCAAATTCTGGTGCGTGGAATCGGGATGAGCCCCGGGAATATGCCTGTTTTAAATGAAGAGCCAGGTGATTTGATGTAGTTAGTCCATGGACTATACTTAGAGACAGAATGATTTGTCTGCTGTGGTCACCTCTGGGGTCCTTTCTCCGGGTGCAAACTGCAGTCCCTCAGTTAGTGAACAGAACCCCGTGCATTGAACCTGTTGGCCCGGGGTTATGGGAATCTGAAAGCAAAACCTTTCCCTCAAGAAGTTCATAGCCTCGCAGGGGAGGCAGGGCCAAGTAGACTCTGTAGAAATGTGTCCAGAACACGAGAGCAATTCCACAAGCACGCTGGCTTAATCAGCAGATAAGGCTGGCTCCTCAGCCCCACCCGCAGCCCGAGTACCCTGTGCCCTCAATAAACCCTTCTTGGTGGACTGATGGTTCAGGCAGGAAAGCATGGATAGATAGGTCAAGGCTAAGGGAATTTACTGATGACAGTTTCATAACAGATAAGAGAAAGAGGATCATAAATGTCCAAGGTGGACCTCGAACATCTGTGGGAAGCCATGGAGAAGTTCATAAGTCATAGAACAAAATAATCATCTTGGATCCATTGGCTTTGGTTGGATACAAACCACCAAGTTTTAGCTCACAGATCCAATCAGGTGTTGTGTTCTTTTTTTTTTTTTTTTAAAGATTTTATTTATTCATTTGAGACACAGAGATACAGAGAGAGAGAGAGCTTGAGCGGGGGGGGGAGACAGAGGGAGAGGGAGAAGCAGGCTCCCTGCTGAGCCAGGAGCCCGACGTGGGGCTCAATCCCAGGACCCTGGAATCATGACCTGAGCCGAAGGCAGACGCTTAACCATCTGAGCCACCCAGGCACCCCAGGTGTTGTGTTCTTATGAGGAGTGTGCATATGGGGGTCACGGAAGGCTTCTCGAAGGAGATAATCTAGAATCAATGTTGACTCCGGAGAGAAGGGCAGCCTGGGAGGTAGCCACAAACCAGCAGAATGAACCAGTGGTTTCCTTCTCTTCCCTAGGAGATCACCAACCCTAAACTGGACATGTTCAATGCGAATAGCAACCTCGTTTCTGGGCCTCTACCCATCTTTCCCCTGGAGCAGTTGGTGAACAAGCCTGTGGAGGAGCTCCCCGAGGGTGTGGACCCCAGCAGGAAGGAGGTAGGTCAGGCTCGAGGATGAAGAAAGCTGGCTGGCCATCTGCTGGACAACACTAAATGACCCCCAGATTGTGCCCTGCAGGTGATTAGGTGCTGGGGATGCCCTGGTGAACAAAACACACCTGGTCTCCACCTTCACGTGAGGTGACATCTCAGTGCGGACAGAGGGTTCAAAGGACCCTGATTACACTATGATTTAATTTCAGTGATGGTAAGCGCTACAAGGTGAACCACAGGTGCCATGAAGGGTCTTCCAAAAAGGAACCTGACTTAGAGAAGATTTCCTTCTGAAAGGTGAACAGGAATTATTCAGTCAAAATGGATTTTTCCTGGAGAAGCGAACAGCATGCGTGAAGCCCAGAGGCAGGGAATGAGCACAGCGGGGATTAATTTTAAAAAGTTTAAAAATCTTAAAAAAAAAAAAAAGATTTTATTTTTAAGTAATCTCTGCGCCCAGTGTGGGACTTGAACTCACAACCCCGGGATCAAGAGTGGCACACTCCACTGACGGAGCCAGCCAGGTTTTATAAAACCTTTAAAAAAAAAAAAAAGATGACTATAGCTACCCAGTGAAGAAGGGACTGGAAGGTGGCAAAAGCAGTGGCCAGAGGCCGGCTGAGTGGTGGCTGGGGAAGTGGAGGGAAGGAGGGGGTTTAGAGGAATTTTAGGAGGTAAAGTCAATGACACTAGGTAATTACTGGATGAAGGGTGTGATTGGGGGGGGGCAATTGCATCATTTTCGGAGACAAAAAGACCCGGGGTCAGACTGAGCTTAGAGGCGGACCACCGTGAGTATGGGGGTAGCCATGCCGTTTGAGGCATCCGGGGACATCCTGGGTGATGCCTATTTGGTGGGCAGGCTATTCAGAGACCCGCCAGTGCGCGGTGCTTCTGGTGGCTGCACCTGCAGGCCCACGCGGGTCACTCGTGGGGAGAGAGTATGGCAAGAAGAGAGCTTGTTAAAAATACATTTCCAATATTCATTCCCACTATAGGCAGATCCAAAATGGATGGCTGATCTAGCATGATGGGGTATCGAGAGACAACGTACTCTCGGGATGATAAACCATAAAGATGTCTTGCTAATGAATTAAGGAATCTACAGAAGAGAGATGCCTGATTTCTCCAACAAGTCTGTTAGGCGTTTGGGCCCGATATATGTTTAAGTGTATGGTTCCCAGAGCATTTGCATCCTGCCCTTCACCTTGGAGACTATGTTCATGCATTCTTTCCCAGATCTACCCATCTGTGTCCTCACTGGAATATTGGGACGATCCCAACATATTTTTTGTAACAGTAATATATGAGTATTATTTGCCCAGCCCCTGGTATGTAAAGGTAAGCTGCTGTTACAACTGCCTGAGGAAACTGGAGGCAGGGCACGTGACTTGCCTGATGTGCCTGACGTAGCTACTTAGCAGCGAGTCAGAGCAAGGACCAGGTCTTCGGAGTCCTGCCGCTCCCATGGTACCATGTGGCTCCAAGTATTTCTAAAAGGAGGGGCAGCTGGTGTTATTGAACCCGGTGACTGATAGGAGGCTGGATGGTGAATTCGGAATGGGACAAACAGAATCAAGACAACCCTACCATGGTAGACACAGTCTACAGAATCTAAGATCCTTTTTAAAAAGTCGGTTGTCTGTTGCTGATTTTTTTTTAATGTTTTATTTATTTATTCATGAAAGTCAGAGAGAGAGAGAGAGAGAGAGAGAGGCAGAGGCAGAGGGAGAAGCAGGCTCCCCGCCTAGCAGGGAGCCCGATGAGGGACTCGATCCCAGAACCCTGGGATCATGACCTGAGCCGAAGGCAGACGCTTAACCATCTGAGCCACCCAGGCGCCCCTGTTGCTGATTTTTTAAAGGAGATTTATTTGAGAGCAAGCGAGCGAGAGAGCACGCACGTGGCAAGGGGTGGGGAGAGGCAGAGGGCGAGGGAGAGAGAATCCCGAGAGACTCCTCTCTGAGAGCGAAGCCCAGCAGGGCTTGATGTCCAGACCCTGAGATCATGACCTGAGCCGAAACCAAGATTCGGACGCTCAACCGACTGCGCCACCCGGGAGCGCCAGTACATTCTTGCGGGGGAAGCTGTAGGTCAGTGTTAAGTGGGGAGAGTTGAGAGGACTTCAGGCCTGACTGCTCCAGACTCGGAAGGGGAGCCAGTGACGATGAACAGTGGGGTGGTGGGTCTGGCTGCAGGCAGTAGCAAGAGGATAATCTGAGTGTTTGAGTACCAGTGAGTAAGCCACAGAGAGGCGGATGTGGGTATGGGCGAGGCCAGTCATCAGCTGGCAGGATCACAGAGTCCAAGAGCAGGACTAGCGGAAAGCTACAAGTCCACGGGGATGGGCAGTTCCTGCTTTCTACCCTGGGGGTCAGAGTCCAGAAGCCTCAGCCAAGCCGTGGAGCCAGCCTGGCTGGGGCCAGGGAGGGCACCTGCAGCCACAGCTGTGAGGGACCTGGGCCAGGGGTTTGCTACAAACCAGTTTGGGGTAGGCAGCTCTTCCCCATCCACTGATGCCCAAACCACTCACCTTTCCTCTCTTCTTCCCTGCTTGGGGGAGTGGGCAGGCTCTTGGGGGACTTGAGAATGCCCAGGGGTGGGAGGCAAACCTAAAGACAGGTTAGAGAACTGAGGCGTCAGACCCATCTGAGCTTGAAGTCCACCTACAGATGTTGTCCAAGCTGTTCAGTTAGGGCTCTCTGTAGGAGTGGGCTCAAATGCTCTCCTGGGGTTGGCGGAGGGGGTGGGGCTCACACTGAAAAGAAACCCATGGCTTTTACCACCCCATCCCCTTCTTGGTGCCTGGGGAGCAGAGATGAAGGCTGGGAGATGCTGTCTTCTAGTAGCTTCAGTTTGGGGTTCTCACATGAATGTGCCTTGAGGGTACCTGGCTTGCTTTAAGCAGTAGCCCTATTACCTTGTGTTAGCTGGGAGCAAATGTCGTTTCAGGCAATCCCCTCATCTTATGGAGAAAGATACATACCCCTGGCTTAGTTAGGTGTCTCCCAGTCACGATCTCTAAGCCAAGAGTAAAAAGGTAGAATGGCGCTATCCAACCTTCTAGATCATTCATAGGATGGAAGAAGCCGGTACGAGTCATCCAAATATTTTGTTTCCCAGGGGGTTTTGCAAGTGGCACAGCTGTACCTGGACGCTAGACTGCTGCTTGCTGGGCCCGTCGCGCTGGGGCAGCCAGCCTGCTCACTTGATCCCCGGCAAGGTAGCACCCAGGAGGGCGAGCGCCTCCCCAGGGTCATGGCTCTCTCGAGCAGAGCTGGGCCTCCTGTCGTAACAGCAACGGAGTCTTATATATTCAGACCTGGGCAGATTCCCTTCGGGGGCTCATCTGCTTACTCTGTGGGCCAGATTTACAGAAAGTAGGATCCTCTCGCTTAGGTTCACTGTTTACTGAGTAAAGACAGATGAACAAGATACCTTGTTTCCAGTGCCCTTTCATGTGTAATATTATTTTCATCTCCATAAAAGCATTACGAAGAAGCAAAAATTGGCCTTTAAGATTTTTCTCCCATTTTAGAGAGAGGAAAACTAAGACACTCTCTTAGCAAATTCCCTAGCCAAGTGAAGTCAAATGTCCCGATTCTTATTTCAGAGCTAGGGTGCACTTGTCAGCAGGAGCTCAATCTACTTCATGCTGCTCATGTTCCAAATTCAGGGATCACACTTCTTAGACCTCAACATGCCGCCTGGCTCCTCCCCATCTCTTTCCGGGTTCTCCTGACGTTACCTATTTTTGTTCTTCACGTGACTGCTCTGCCACACCTACAGGACTCATCCAAGTCAACCCTGGGTGAGAATGTGACCGTTGCCCTCTGGTCTCTCTCTTCTTCTAGGAGCACCTGTCCATCGAGGATTTCACCAAGGCCTTGGGGATGACACCCACTGCCTTCTCTGCCCTCCCTCGATGGAAGCAACACCACCTCAAGAAAGAAAAAGGCCTGTTTTGAGAAACAGGAGTGGTTGCGGTTGGAGAGCAGTTCCCTACCCTGCTTTCAGTTTCCTTGTTTTCATGACTGGTGTTATTAGTCCTATACTAATTGAAGTGAAATTTTACCTGTAAGCAACCTATTCTTCCAGAATGGTACCTCCATAAGGACAGTGTGGTCCCAATTTCAGCTCTTAAGAAGGTGGTCACATGGTTTCGACCATGGGGTGTTAATGTCACTTTTAACCATCCTGTTCTAGAGCTTTCCCTTCTTAGAAGAGCAAACACTCCACAGAACATTCTAATTCTGAGTCATCCCTAGGTTTTCCTCTCCTGTAAGTCGTTTTTAACCATGGAAAGTGGGCTGAAGCCTTTTGCAGTTTCACATCTTTCCCAGAGTAATGGCTTTTCCTTCTCACATACTTTCCTCACTGACTTAGGTGAGAAGTTAAAGGGCACTCCTTCTTTGCAAGAGTTGAATGGCCTGGGAAAGGGCCCCGTTAGGAAGTTTCACAACACTAACCTGTCCCCAGAGAGCACAGCATACCCACTGGGTCTAGAACAGAGGTCATTTCACCCCCGTCTGGTAATAATAAGGCAAAGGAAGAGCTTAGCTAAGGCCAATGCCGAGTTTACAAAGTGTTATCCAGAACCTCTGCCAAGCTTCCCGGGCTCCTGCAGTGAAAACGAGAACTCGGTGCTGCCTCCAGCCATTTGTTGGTTTGCCCTTCCATCTCCTTTAAGCTGTAATGGTGCTGCATTGAAGTCCAAGTCAGAAGGGAACAGAAAGTGATTTCACAACCTCAACAAATGGTTGTTAAGTGTCTGTAAGGATAAGTCCTTTCCAGAAATAACAGTCAAACCATCGCAAGGTTAATAAAGGCTTTAATTTCACACACACAAAAAACTCTATGCATAATTTAAAAAGGAAACAAAAACAAGGAAAAACCGTAAAGGATAGAGGAACAGTTCTGCTAAAACACAGATAAAGTGCCGCTCCATACGAAACAACATAAAGAATCAGAATCAAGTCACTCTGAACACAAAGAAAGAAAATCACCTCACAAATAATGTGGCCAAAGCTGCCAGCAAATCTGGTAGTGGCTCAATTAGGCAAAGTGTAGGACCCTTCCTTCTGTTTTCCTCTCCACAGCATAAGTAAACCACACTGACAACAGGCCAGAGGAATTGGGATGCAAAGACAAGCTCAGAGAGGGAGGGAAACCTGGGGACGATAGGTGTGTGGTCTCACTCCCCGCATCCCCTCTGTTCTTGAAACAGGCCAGGTCAGCTGATTGCTCGTTTTGGCATTTGACCTACCGAACTTGGGTCTTGATCCAGAACCTCATCCCCTCTATGGTTTCACCAGCGAACATGCCTATACTTTGAACCTCTTAATGTACTTTAGAAAAGTCCAATGTTACTAAAATCAACTGCTTACACTTACACTGGCACACTTTTTATTAAAAACTTCAAAACCTCAGACATATAGCACACATGGAAAGAAAAATTTGCTGTGTATAAATATGATACAACGGAAAAGACTGCCTGAAGTCTAGTAATCAAAGCATGCCATAAAGGAGCCAGTGACTGTGGTGACGCACAGCTGAAGAACGTCACAAAACTCTCAAGGTCTACCGAACTGTAGTTTTCCAATAAAATATCTATGTTTTTCAGATGTTATTAAGACCTACCAATAGAGACAAAATTAGAATTTTGAAGTACTGCATTCAAAAGACATCAGATGGCAGAAACCCAGTAGTTTTTGTACACACTTAAAGAGAGCATTACTCAGTGGTAAAGCAAGATGGGGAGAAGGAAAAAGACACGCCTGTTTTTCGGGGACACTCATGGGACTTGCATCTGGTACTGGGTTGTTGGTGTTTCTAAAAATCTCCATACATATATATACAAGATCCAAATGTACTTGGGAGATCTAGCTCTGTTTCCCTGATTTAAAACAAAAGACCGCCTATGGGGGCGCAGGGTAGGGGGTGCCAATTAAAGCAAAGAACCAAAAAAAAAAAAAAAAAAAAAGTTTGGATGACTAAGTGCATCCACTGCACTCATTTCAGAGGACAAAGAAAGAAGAGTAATATTTTTATTTGTTTTAGTATAAACTCTTTTCAGATCACGAATGAGTTTACAAACTACTTTTTTTCTGTATGGTTCCAAACCTCACCCCCATGCTCTCTCTATACTCATAACACTCAACTATATAGACACTGTCAAAAATCTCTTCAATTTAGATGTTTCCAAATAATTTCCATTATACAACTATATTCGTAGCTGTACACATGTAGAGCTTTGTTTATATAGTAACATAATGGTAACTGCAGTATGGAAAAATAAGTAAATTCATGAATTCACTTGCTGAGGTTTTAATTCTTAAAGTTTCTCTTTTGGAAAAATTCTACACTTGAACAAAAAGAGAAGTAAAGAAATGTATAGTCTACTATTTGCCTCCCAGAGTTAATCAGCTGATTTGTAAGTATCTCTGTATACTTTTAAAAATGTAAACACATTTACATTTGTTACATCTGTTACTGAGCCATTAAGTTAGGCCCGAAATTAAGAGACCATGGCAAGTAAACAAATAGCTTTTGGAATCAAAATGTAAATAGAAGAACAATTCATGGACTTGCTGTTTTTATTCTATCCTGCTGACACAAAACGCATGAGTGTGCACACACTATAAATACATTCCCCGCAAAACAGAGTCTATCTCATAGGCCTAAATTAGAGTCATGGCTACTAAAGGGGCAGCAACTATCTGGCTATATGCAACTTCCAATTCTCCATAATACTAGGTGGTAAGAATCAGTAAGTTTGAATTTTAGTTTTCCCTTCCAAAAAATTTCAATTAAGATCAGCTGTCTGCAGAACGAAGTGCTGTCAAGTACCAATTCAACGTCATTTAAAGTGATGTAACCATATTTGGTATTATCAGTAGAAAGGTGACTGTGTAGGCTGCCTGGGACTGAAGCACTCTGTCCCCATCTGACTTGTCCCTTCCTGGCCCCAACACACCAAATGCCCCATCCCCCCCAATTCTGAGCAAACTGATCATACTGTGCAAAAAAAAAAAATATATATATATATATATATTATCTACTTATAATTTTTAAATATATACACCCAGCTCAAAAAAACCCAATAAACCCCTTCAAAGCTAAAATTTCCACCTGTAGTCATGAACCCAAATGAGAAGTGTAGTGAAAGGGGGAATAAGGAGCACAGGGAGGGAGGAAGGCTGACAAGGCCACAAAAATGCACAGCTACCAAGGAAATTCAAGTCCCAAAGTTGCAAGCATATCAGCAGTAAGATAATTCATCTACCTCAGTAACCTATTTTCAATTAGCAAGTCCAGCCCAAGAAAGGAAGATCCAATCAAAACAGGTTTCTAAGCCACGTGTACTTCCAAACCACACACCCACACACAAACACACAGGCTACAAAAAGCAAGTCAAATGAGGGCACTTCATGGGCAATCAGGCCTATGGCATCATTTCTATTTTTTTTAATGCCCTAATGTATCCCTCACTTCAATACATTTCCAGTCGTTTTAAACAGCACCTCTCGAAGCTCTCAAATGCAAACACGCAGAAGAGAAGTCCTAACTAGCTACAGAATTTGACCACCACTTCACTCATTTTGGAAAAAACCAGTTATTTTCCAGCAAAAGCTACAGTTTTAAAAGTTATTTTCCTCTGCTCTATATTATTCACGCACAACCGACCGGCATACCATTTTGGAATGTTCACTGTGGTAGTGCATAGGTAAATGGTAGGAGGCCGAACTTTTCATCTGTAGTTAACCAACGCGCTGGGGCCATTTACAATTTAAAAACTGAGAATTTTAGAACAAGTTACTACGTCAGAACACGTCCAAGTGTGGGGTCTGGTGCTCTCTTAAGGCAATGTTCTAGAAAAGATGTTGCACCTTCTGTGATGATGGACTTTAACATGTTTCCTCCCCTTAAAAAACTGATGTGGTTTTGTCCCTACCTCAGAAGTGAAACAAGAATTCCCTCCTTCCTGATAATAAAAGGAAGTAAAACATGAAAGAAAATATTGAAAGTTTCATTTTGCTACACTTAACTGTGTGAACCTAATGATTCCTGGGCTTACAAAGTTATTCTGTGGATAGAATTCTCCTCTCAAACTCATTCTTTATATGGTTTCACAGGCTGCTTAATATCCAAGCTGGTTACGCCAGCTGAGTGACTAATGTGGCACTTAATGTTGCATTCCCATTTAGCCTCAACTCAAAGCACCTAAAAAGATAAAATATATTATGCACCTTTGTTACTTGTTAGTTCTTGGGATTACCTAAACCAATCTCATTCTAATTTTCACCCTGTTTTAAGGGCAAAGACAGACAACAAATGATTAAATGCTCAAGCTTCATCCTAAGCTCATGTACTTAATTTCCCACTTGCAGTAGGGCTTCTAGTGGTCCAGAGTTTTTAGCTTTAACACGAGAATCCTCATCCTGACCTCTCCATGTATGACAGACAGATGCTAGCATTCTTCCTTATCCCCAGGTGTCCTTGCTGGGGAGTCCCAATTGGGATATTATTTTCCTACCTCTTAAAATTTTGGTTGCAATCTATTAGGGTAATGCTTGCTCCATGGAAGAATGATACAGAAGAAAAAGAAAAGATTCTATCTTCACTACCATAATAATATAGATGAATATACTGTGTGAAGAATCTCTTTTAAAGAAAATACAAAGTGTACAATGAATACCAAACGGGGGACCATAACCCATTCCAAAGCACCAACAATCCATTTCTTGGGACTGCATGTAAACAGCAAAAGCATTACAAATCCATGAAGTAATTAAAAAAAAAAAAAAAAGCTCCTCACGTCAGGTGGCAGAAATGCCTCTCCCTTGCAAGGAGGACAAACTGTCATTAGTGTAACATGGAGAGCTGGCTTTCCAGTGAACTTTACTAATAAGAAACACATGTGAAAGATTATAGACTTGAGTGAAACTACTCAAGGAACAGAAAAACTAAATGCCAACCAATATGTACATCTTTACACATCTCTCAGGTGAATGGACTCTTTGACACCTTCATTTCTTCTCCAAACTGCTGTGCTATTAATTTTGAACAGGAATACTATGGTGGCTCATCCTAACTCTTTAAGGCTCCATTCATTCCACATACGTGTGTGTGTGTATGTACATATATATATTATTTACAACACGTATTCCTAAGACAAAAGGAAGTGCCACTCTTGTAGGAGAAAAAGAGGATAATCAGCTACAGATGTGAGACCAAAGTTTCCATAAAACAATTAGCATGGAGCGTTCCACATAATTGCAATTTTCGTCTTTTGGTTTGGCCCTGAGCTGTTTGTTGCTCCCGCATCAAGTAGAATTCCAAATTCTCCTTGGGCAGAGGAAAGGTGAGGTGGGCAGCAGTAGGAGGGAATAAGCAGTGCACACTGCCAACCCAGGAGTTTGTTCCTCACAAGGCCTGACGAGTGGTCTTCCCCACTTCCATGCTAAGTGCCTGAGAATTCTTTTCCGTTTCCAGCAGCTCATCAAAGATCTCCCTTAAAATAAAACAAACAAGAAATAAAACAGGAAATTCAGCGAGCAAAGCCAAAGGACAGATAGAAGATACTGATAAAGCCTGCACAATCCCATTTAGTGCCTAAATTTTATTAAACAAGCAGCTCATTGATTTGATCACTATCTTAACCCCAAGTGCAGATTTCTGAGAACGCTGGGGGGACAATGGCACTGGCTACCCCTGATAACAATGCCATGTGGTTCCCACCCATCCATGTAACTCAGATCTTCTAGCTGATACACCTGGAAGACCAAAAAGGTTTATGATAGGACAGCTTTGTCATCTAACAGTCTTAAGTTCCACACCTCGATACTACCGTGAGATAAGTCATTAACATGGAGTTAAGATATCAAGATATAAGCCCTAAGCACAGGTAACAAAAATAAAACATTGTCAACCAATAAGTGATGGGGACAATTTGTCCTTACAGGAAAAAAAAAAAAGTTTGGGAGATGTTTAGCCCACAGCTCCAGACCTGGCAGTTTCTTACTTGTGCATATAAAAGAAGATATAACCACTCCGGTCCCGATCACTCTGCACAGAAGCCTCCTGGATTTTAGATACCTCGAGATCATTGTAAGTAAACCATGCCTGCTTCTTAATGTCGTACACATCACTAATGTAATGACCTAAAATAAATAAAATCTTAAAATTGTAGTTTTTAAAACACAGCACATTTTTCTCAGGTATAGGAAGTTTTGGAGAGAGAGAAACAGCCACCCCATCCACCCTATCCCCAACAATGTTTCTAAAAACCATTCAGAAAACATGTACAGGAATCTAAGGGAGAAATATATTACACCAGGACAACTTTTTGGATAAATATACATATATAGGGGAATTTGGGTCATCTATAAATAAATAAAAAAGTTGCACCTTTAACACAATTCACACTTAGTGTGATCAAAGGAAAGATTTAAAACTTTTTCTTAATGCATTTAACCTATAGCTCATGAAGCTAGGCACAGGGCAAACTAATAGGCAGTAAATGTTGGCTACTTCATTTGTAAAATGCTGAAATCATAATGTCCATTTACCTGAAGAAGAGGTGCTACCAATGTGACTGACAACACTAATGAGCCGATAAGAATGAGGAAGATTTCCTGTCTGGAAAACAGAAGTGGGCATGACTTTTAACTCTTCATTTGAATAAAAGCAAAACACTAAATTTAAATTTATTATCAAAGCTAACATGGCTGAGTTTCAGTGTGTGTATAGTCAAACTCAATAAAAAAAAAAATCCAGTGGTTGTACTGTTCATACCTTTTGACCCAAGAATTCTACTCCCAACTAAGAATTTATCCTAGGAAAATCATTCAAAAGGAGAAAAGAGTACATGTATAAAATTATTCACTGTAGCATTATCTATAATAATGGAAAGTTGGAACAATAGGCCTAATAATAGTTGAATGATTAGTGGTATACCAACTCAATGCAATATTATTCAGTGGGTCAGCAACATGTAAACTTGTTTTTCAAATCCACATGAATGCACACAATAATTACAGCTCTATAAAAACAGGTATGTTAATGATTAAGTACTGGAAAACAAAACGAACAAAATGAAAACAGCTGCGGTGGTACTGTAGGGATTATGAATAAACTTTTATGTTTTAAATACTTTTTAAAATGCTATTAAAATACTGTTAGTAGGGCGCCTGGGTGGCTCAGTTGGTTAAGCGAATGCCTTCGGTTCAGGTCATGATCCTGGAGTCCCGGGATCGAGTCCCAGGTCGGGCTCCCTGCTCAGTGAGGAGTCTGCTTCTCCCTCTGACCCTCCCCCCCTCATGCTCTCTCTCTCTCTCATTCTCTCTCTCTCAAATAAATAAATAAAATCTTCAAAAAAAAAAAAATACTGTTAGTAGAAAAATTGTAAAAACCTGGAAAGTGACATTCATGCACTGCAGGCAGCACTCTAAGATACACATTTTGGGAAGGAATATAGGTATATATAAACCAGAAACCATTAAAATGTTTCTCAACTTTGAAGCAGTAATTTACTTCTGGGAATTTACTGAAAGAAAAAAATCCTAAACACAGAAAATATTACAATCATCCACAGTTCCTCAATGTATTTTTTAAACATATATATTTTTTAAAGTAATCTCTACACCTAATGTGCGGCTCAAACCTACAACCCTGAGATCAAAAGTTGCACACTCTTGGGGCGCCTGGGTGGCTCAGTCGTTCAGTGTCTGCCTTCGGCTCAGGTCATGATCCCGGGGTCCTGGGATCGAGCCCCACACTGGGCTCCCTGCTCAGCGGGAAGCCTGCTTCTCCTCTCCCACTCCCCCTGCTTGTGTTCCCTCTCTCACTGTCTCTGTCAAATAAATAAATAAAATATTAAAAAAAAAAAAAAAAAAGTTGCACACTCTACCAACTGAGCCAGCCAAGTGCCTCCCAATGTATTCTTTATTACAGTGGAACAACAGAAACATAAATACTCATGGTTAAAAATTAAATAAACAGTATGCTGATTTGAGGCAATATAGTACATACAGCCATTAAAAATAAAATGCTTATAAATAATCTTTAACAAGTAAGCAGAATAAAAACTGTACTTATGATGTTTTAAAAGCACACTTGGAGGTAGGGCTGACAAAATAATATGTAAAAATGCTAACAGTAGTTGTGTTAGGACAGTGGAGTTCTAGGTAATTAAAATTACAAAAAAATTGGAAAATGGAAAAAAAAGCAATTAAGAAGGGCAAAAAAAGGTTACAATGTGTTCTAGTTTAATGTCATTGATCTAGTAGTTTTTACTGAAGTAACAACCAACTAGTTTTGTTATTTCACTTTAAAGACAATATAGTTTTGGCAAAACTACAGGTGAATTAATATATGACATTGAGAGTCATGTTACTCAGTTACTACCTAATTACTACCTAACATGCACAAGAGGGAGTCAGGATATCTTTCTAATTTTGTTTCATTTTATTTTGAATCTTGTGAATAAGAAATGAGGAGCAGGGTGCCTGGGTGGCTCAGTCAGTTGTGTCCAATTCTTGGTTTTGGCTCAGGTCATGATCTCAGGGTCCTGGGATCAAGCCCTGCGTCAGGCTCTGGATACAGCAAGGAATCTGCTTGGGATTCTCTCTCCCTCTCCCCCTCCCCTCACTCACAGGCTCTTTCTCTCTCTAAAATAAATAAAATCCTTTTCTTTTAAGGTTTTATTTATTTATTTGACAGAGAGAAACACAGCTAGAGAGGGAACACAAGCAGGGGGAGTGGGAGAGGGAGAAGCAGGCTCCCCACGGAGCAGGGAGCCCGATGTGGGGCTCGAATCCAGGACCCTGGGATCATGACCTGAGCCGAAGGCAGACACTTAACGACTGAACCACCCAGGCGCCCCATAAATAAATAAAATCTTAAGGGAAAAAAAAAGAAGAAATGAGCAAAGGACAAGAGAAAGTGAAGAGCATTGATGGGGATGCTCTGCCACAGGGGATACTGACAGTGGGGCCTTGGAAGAGAAACAGCATGAAGACTGATGCCAGCAGCCTGAGCAGTCCTACTTAGGGAGTAAGCAGCCTACCTCTGCATTTCTTTTTAGTTCCTCCGCCTCCGCTTCTGTGTACTCCATGTCTAAAACATCCTCATTGCCAGAGTCCTCATCGGAACCCAATGAATCCAGAAAAGAGTTGTTAAACTCTGCAGAATATAAAGTGTTGTAAAAGTTCTTAGAATAGACACAAAGTGATATGATTAGAAAGATAAAAAAAACAGCTTGGGGTACATATTTTATCATCCTAAGGAAACCTAAAACATTATTAGGGTTTTATTTTATCCAGCCCACTCTGGGGAATAACAATTCAGGTACCAGGTATCTATAAAAGAAATGTCCTTTTTCTCTTAAATATATTTATATGAAAGGGATATAATGCTAAGAAAGGAATAAAACTAAAAAAGATTATGATTTTACAGATAACCCAATTTCACATTATATAAACTGTATGTTAGATTTCAACTATTTGGTGTATATTGTAGGTGCTCCTGGCAAATACAAATGATCTCACAGAAAAACGACCATAAAAAAATTAGCATCCTTTCATGTTCTTCAATATTACATCTCTTGAAATTTAACAAATATAATGGAAATTTAACTTTTAAAAAAGATTTTATTTATTTATTTGGGGGGGGGGAGAGAGAAAGAGAGCACAAGCAGGGGGAGGGAGGAGCAGGCTCCCTGCGACGCGGGGCTCGGATCCTAAGACCCTGGGATCAAGGCCCCAGTGGAAGGCAGACACTCAACTGACTGAGCAACCCAGGCACCCCTGGAAATTTAATCTTTAACTTAAGTTTCACTAAAATACACTACACTAACAACTAAATCCAAGATTGCTTTTTTCTTTAATAAAGTGTTTCCACTGGCAGAATCCATCTTTACTAATGACTTTAAATAAAGAATCCTGGGGGCGGGATGGGGGGGGGGTGCTGGGTGGCTCAGTCAGTTAAGAGGTTGACTTCAGCTCAGGTCATGATCTCACAGTCCTGGGAACAAGTCCCACTTTGGGCTTCTTGCTCAGTGGGGAGTCTGCTTAATCCCTCTGCCCCCCTTCCTGCTCATGTTCTAATAAATAAAATCTTAAAACAAACAAAGAATCCCAGAATCATTTGTACTTAAGTGTCTCTTTGCTTTAAAATATAATTAATTCCACTCAAATCACAGTATAGAGTTATTTATAAGACATGAAAACCGCAGAGTGGGAAGAACAGAAAAAGAGACTGTAACATCAGAACTCTGGAAGCTGGAAAGTAGATGGTGACTGACTTAGCAGACCAAGGAAAGCCAAAGCCAAAGCCTAAGCCAGTAACGGAAAAGTTGAGAACCAATTCAATTTACATCACAGAATCTTGTTCAAAAGACATACAACTTTGAAGTAGCAGGTACCCTTGAAACTGGAGGCTAAGGAGGAGATACAAATAAGGATTTGACGAAAAGTATTTGAGAAGGGGCGCCTGGGTGGCTCAGTTGTTAAGCGTCTGCCTTCGGCTCAGGTCATGATCCCAGGGTCCTGGGATCGAGACCCGCGTCAGGCTCCTTGCTCTGTGGGAGGCCTGCTTCCCCCTCTCCCACTCCCCCTGCTTGTGTTCCTGCTCTCGCTAACTCTGTCAAATAAATGAATAAAATCTTAAAAAAAAAAAAAAAAAAGAAAAGTATTTGAGAAACAGACTCCCAGGATCCCCTTTCTCCCCACTTCATGCTGCTGAGCAATGACAGAAGTCTGGAGTTTTATCCTCTGGAGAGGGTTAAACAGTCTCTGGACTGGGGGATGCCAGGCACATACTGAAAACAGAGGAGTAGGCCACAGTTTGCATAGTGAAGCATGAATATAACTCCCAGCCCTATTCCTATACGTGGCTCCCAGAACTTTGGCAGCCACATCTTTTACCTTTAGGCAAAGGCAAGTGATTAGAAAACTCTTTTTTAGGAATCTGACCAGCCCAAGAGAAAGGCCTAAATAACATTAACATCATCCCCAAAACAGTCCCACCCTATAAAACTCACAGTTGACAAGCCCTAGTTATTCATGTGCTCAGGGCTTCCAATCAACCTTTAGTCTCCTTTTCTTAATCATGAACCACAGCCAAGGATTACTAGGTATCTGAGGAAAGTCTCTAATAAGAAATATAAAGAGCATGGGGTGCCTGGGTGGCTCAGATGGCTAAGTGTCTGCCGTCGGCTCAAATAATGATACCCAGGGTCCTGGGATCAAGCCCCATGTTGAGCTCCTTGCTCAGCGGGGGGAGTCTACTTCTCCCTCTCCCTCTGCCTCTCCCCCTGCTCATGCTCTATCTCTCTGTCTCAAATGAATAAATAAAATCTTTTTTTTAAAGATTTATTTATTTATTTATTTGACAGAGAGAGAGACACAGCAAGAGAGGGAACACAAACAGAGGGAGTGGGAGAGGGAGAAGCAGGCTTCCCGCCGAGCAGGGAGCCCGATGCGGGGCTTGATCCCAGGACCCTGGGATCATGACCTGAGCCGAAGGCAGACGCTTAACGACTGAGCCACCCAGGCACCCCTGAATAAATAAAATCTTTAAAAATATATATAAAGAGCATAATCACAAGACAGGACAGAGCAGCTGGAGGAAACAATCTGTAGTCAGGGAGAAGAAAACTTCAAATAAGCAAACAAATGAACTATATTTAATAACCTCAGATATTTGAGATGATATTGCTTCTATGACCCCCCTCTCCAAAAAACTTTAAAAAATTAAATCATTAAAAATAATACTTCACATGCTTTTCTGTGTGTGATACATTTCTCCATTAAAACAATGTAATTAAAATAATCTCCACACCTTGAAGACTTAACTCTGTTGCTCTTTTGAGGTCATCGTCTTCTTTCTGTTCCCAAGCTTCCTAAAGAGGTAAGAACACAACTAAGGTATTTAAAAAGGTACTGAATAAACTTATTTAAGGAGTACAAAATCAGCTGCTCTGGAAGTATTTGCTAATAATGTTTTCCATAATCTTATGAATGTTTGGAATATGATCTTTTGAGGGATGTGGAGAAATTCTTTGCTTTTTTCAATGCTGCCCTCTAAAACACAACCTTGGGGGTTAAAAAGGCTTACAAGCTATCTCCTCTAGTCAGTGACACTTGCCTTGCTAATCAAAAGCCATTCACTGCGACATTATGATTTAATTCCCTTTTCCTTCTATGTATGAAATACCTGGCACATAGCAGAATCTGCTTAGCAAACTTCTCTGTTTTCTTTCCTCTAATTTACAGCCTTTGCCAATTTTCAGGGTATAAACACTCCTACCATGGCCAATTTTAAGCTACCAACGTGATGCTGAGTGCAGAGCTGGGAAGAGGTACATACACCTGAGCTGACGGTGAGCTGGCTCTAGCATATCGCCGACCCTAAGTCTGTGACAGCAAGATAAACAATTCTTTCCATAAGATCATTATTCAAACACTTCTATTTTGTTCTTGCTAAAAAACACAACAAAAAACCCCAAGACACACACTAGATACACGGTGAATACGAAATGAATTCGTTGACTGTTGACTGTTATTTCTCTAATACATCTGAGGTTCTCTTAGAAAAACAAGTACCTTTGAACATGTCTCAACTGGATGATTAACTGTAAAAATATGGAAATGTTGACTGTAAAAAAATTTTCCCTCTCGTCTGCAGAGAAAATACAATTTACAAACTTCATGCATAAATGAAGAAAAAATGTAATTTAAGTAGAACGGTTTATACTTTTCTCAAGTCTAGACTTGTTTTAAAGGTCACTAAAGTATATAAGAAGCTCAGAATGAGCTATTCTGCCTTTAAATCCTGGGAGCAATAATATTGTATTCAAGAAAGAAACAGATATTCTCTAAGAGGAAATATGATTACTTAAGCTTATCCCAGCTATAAAGTCTATGAGGAAACCCAGATGGTAAAAGAGTCTTTTAGCTATTAATACAATGATGCAGGTATACCAAACTAATGAAACCTCATCTTATATTTCTCAGATGTGAAAATAGGTTTATAAGGTAGTTTTAACTGGGTCAACTGACAAGAAATAGGATATACATCTTTTGTATATGAAAAAGAGGGGTACTGAATTTTTTTTTTCTTCACTGTAAGGAACTATTGTTAAGAAATCAGACCTTGGTCTTTTAGATTAAGAATAAATTTTCTAAAACAAATGATTACTATCCATTATTTGTAAAATGGGTGACATGAATGCATCTTGATGGCCAGGAGGCTAGGGAGGTACTTCTTGTAAATAAAAGGATACAGAACAGCTGGTTCTGAAATCATTTTAAAGCAGTTCTCAACCTTGACTGAACACTAGAATAACTGTGGGAAGTTTTAAAAAATAAAGGAAGCAAGTAAGGAGGGAGAGAAGAGAGGGAGAGAGGGAGGGAGGAAGGAAGAAGGAAGGGAGGGGAGGGGCGAGAAAGAGACAGAAAGAAAAAAGGAAAGAAATCTAGATGCCCAGACCATACCCTAGAATCAATTCTATCAGAATTCCTGAGGGGAAGAACAACCCAAGCATCATTATTTTTTAAAGCTCCCCAGATGATATTAATGTGTAGTTAAGGTTGAACCCCACTGTTCTACACAAATTAGATTTTTTTTTTTTTTAAGATTTTATTTTTAAATAATCTTTACACCCAACATGGGGCTCGAACTCACAACTCTGAGATCAAGAGTTGCATGTTCCACCAACTGAGCCAGCCAGGAGCCCCAAGACAAAAATAGACTTCTTAATTTGATTATTTGTAAACACAAAAACTGTGTGTTTATTCTAGGGAGTTTTAGTAAATTTTTATTATTAGCATGACTCGGATTGCATTGGATTAGACAACCGTGAAGACATCACCTTTTAGTCAGATACCTCAGGTAACGGCAATGGTGCAATCAACCAGCTCTGGCAAATATAAGCATGAAGAACTAAAAATTTAAGAACAGATTATTATATGGGGCGCATGGCTGGCTCAGTTGGTGGAGCATGAGACTCTTGATCTCAGGGTTGTGAGTTTGAGCCCCATGTTGGGTGTAGAGACTACTTAAAAATAAAATCTTAAAAAAATAGATTACTATATAAGAAAAGAGCAGAAGCAGATAAATGTTAGTCAATGGCTGAAATCTGAAATTTCAAATACTATTCAGATAATTTTCCTGAGGATTTTATGTTCAAATAATTCATAGGAAAGGATTCATATTGTGAGAAAGTGACCAGAACAAATACAATGCCTTAAAATATTAGTGATAAAATCATGGTGGTATGCTGACTGTTTCTATAGCTTGCAAAACAAACTTGGACTGGGGATGATCTCTAATAACCCACCTTTCTTTAACATGCAATGAATTATAGTAATGGGAGGTAATCAACAATACATTTTGTTGTATCTAGATTAAAAAAAAAAACAAAAACCCAAAACAAAAAAAAACTATCACTGTTTCAAACCCAAGGCAAAGCTCCAAACTAAGTTTGTTTTGATGTATCAATGGTTTACTGTATGTAAATTACCTGGAATGATGCTTGACACACAGTAAGTGCTTAACACATGTTAGCTGTTGTTATTACAGGGAAAGATAGGTTATGGAGAAAATAGCAATATAATTATCTCTTACTTGCTCTTGAAGGCTCTGAGCCAATGCCTGCTGAAGCTCTTGCTCTTCCCTTTCACGCTCCATATCATACTGCTGGAGCCAATCAACCTCTCCTTGAGATCCTTCTGGAGTTTTGTTTTCTTTATTCTCATCACAGTCTTTAGTTATCTCAGTAAAACCGGCAGAATCTGAGGAAGCAGAACAGGACATAACTGGGAAAGCCTCTCTAATAAACCAAAATCTCTGGATTAGAGTGACATCTACTGTTCAGAGAGAGTAATTTACCTGAGCCTCATATATAATTTGCTTGGGACATACAATTTCATCTTACTACATTTAGATCATGGTTTCTCAATCTCAGCACTACTGACATTCTGGGTGGGATAATTTTTTGCTGTTTGAGGGGGCTGTCTTATACACTGCAGAATGTTCAGCAACATCCTTGGCCTCTATCTACTAGATGCCAGTAGCACCCCTCTCCCCCAGCAGCGACAACCAAAAATGACAGACATTGTCAAATGTCCTGGGGCACAAAACTGTCCTTGGCTGAGAATCTGTGATCTACCCCAATGGTTCTGAAACTTAACCAATCATCAGAAGCATTATCGTTGAGGATGGAGAAGAATGAATAGCCATATTCACAGTCAGTCATAATGTCACATGACCAAGTACTAGGAATAGAGTAAATGAAATAAGAATTAGGCTAGAATGATTATGTTAATATTGAGATTTTTCCATTATTAAACTGTATGTCAAATGAGTGTATATTTTCACATTAATGATCAAATAACCTTGTACATATTCTAAAGCAAAAGAGCTACATGAAATATATAATAAACACCTCATGTACTGCACAAACATAAGACTATATGTGTTTAAAACATTCATCCAAGGAGATAAGAAAAAAAATTAATCTTTCATTTCTTCCCGTTCCTTCTCAATCTCTAGATCACAGCTAGCTAGGATAAACAATATGGTCATGATTTTGTTCTGGTGAAACAGATTTTGTTCTGTTAGAACAACATTTCATTATAATTTTAATACAGATAAGAGTGGGTAGATAAGAGCTTTCTCTTTCTCACTTTACAAAAGCAAAAATTCTCATCTTAACAAGGAAATTCTCATAAAAAGAATTTAATTGGTCAACAAGAATTACCTTTACAGATTAATTTTATATGGACTGCTTTAAAATCAAGTATATGCTCGGGGTGCCTGGGTGGCTCAGTCAGTTAAACATCGGACTCTTGATTTCGGCTCAGGTCATGATCTCAAAGTCTTGAGATTAAGCCCCATGCTGGGCTCAACACTGGGCGGGGAGCCTGCCTAGGATTCTCTCTCTCCCTCTCCCACTCTCCCCCCATTTGCATTCTAAAATAAATAAGTAAATAAAGGTAAGTAAGTAAAATCAGTATAGGCGCTTTACTTGCCCTATTACTGCATTTTAACTACTTAAATGATACTTTTCTATACCACAGACTATAAACTCTGAAGTTTACAGCATATTTTTATTTTTATTTATTTATTTTTGTTTAAAGATTTTATTTATTTGACAGAGAGAGACACAGCGAGAGAGGGAACACAAGCAGGGGGAGTGGGAGAGGGAGAAGCAGGCTTCCGAGGAGCAGGCAGCCCAATGTGGGGCTCGATCCTAGGACCCTGGGATCATGACCCGAGCCGAAGGCAGATGCTCAACGACTGAGCCACCCAGGTACCTTTTTTTTTTTTTTTAAAGGTTTTATTTATTTATTTGTCAGAGAGAGAGAGAGAGATCACAAGCAGGGGGAGCTGCAGGCAGAGGCAGAGGGAGAAGTAGGCTCTCCGCTGAGCAAGGATCCCAACAGGGGACTCAATCCTGGGGTCCTGTGATCATGACCTGAGCCAAAGACAGACACCTAATCGACTGAGCCACCCAGGCGTCCCCGAAGTTTACAGCATCTTGATTTTAGACTCTAAGTCAGTAAGTAGTTCGTTTTTTAATTGTATTAAATTGCCAAGTGAATATTTACCGTTAAAACTAACTCTGGGGCGCCTGGGTGGCTCAGTTGGTTAAGCGACTGCCTTCGGC